CCTGCACTGTTCAGTGCGGTAACCACTAGCCACATGTGGCTATCGAGCACTTGAAATGTGGTTAGTGCAACTGAGGAACAGCTTTTTTTTTATTATTATAGATGGAGGATCTTGCTGTGTTGCCCAGGCTGTCCTCGAGCTCCTGGGCTGAAGCAGTCTTACTGCCTCAGTCTCCCGAGTAGCTGGGACTACAGGCACGTACCACTGCACCCAGTTTGCATTTTTAATTTCATTAAATTTAAATTTTAAGGCCTGGCATGGTAGCTCATGCCTGTAATCCTAGCACTCTAGGAGGCTGAGGCAGGAGGGTCACTTGAGCTCAGGAGTTCTAGACCAGCCTGAGCAAGAGCGAGACCCCATCTCTACTAAAAATAGAAAACATAGCCGGGCATGGTGGCATGCGCCTGTCATGCCAGCTACTCGGGAGGCTGAGGCAAGAGGATCATTTAAGCCCAGGAGTCTGAGGTTGCAGTGAGCTACGATGACTACAATGATGCCACTGCACTCTACCCAGGGCAACAGAGGGAGACTCTGTCTAAAAAAAAAAAAAAGCCACAAATGGGTAGTGGCTACCATACTGGACAGTACAGGACAAGACTTTCAGGAGTGCACAGCCTGGTGGGGATAATGTGAAGACGATATAATAAGCACAGGCCCAGAAGGAAGCCCTGGGCGTGTGGGAGCACAGAGCAGGGGAAATCCAACTTGGGGTGGGCAAGTGGGGTCAGGGAAGGTTTTCTGGAACTGCCCCGTTAATGGCATCTTGAAGGGTGTGTAGGAATTAGCCCGGTAAAGAAAGGCATTTGTCAGAGGGAGCAGCACATTCAAAGGCCTAGAGGTGTTAGAGAATGGAATGTCAGTGGCACAGCCAGAAAAGAATGGGAGCGGGCAGCTTCGGCGGTGGGCAGGGCACACAGTGAAGCCTGGAGATAGGCAGGTCTCCTCATCTGATCCCTGTTGCTCTGTTGCCAGTAGGTTTTCTCACCCTGGCCTCAGCAGTAGCTAAAGTAAGACCAGGTGACACATTAGGCTATCCAGTGTCTCCACTTTAAAGTTACTATTTTCCTCTTTGTGACGAATTATCTTGTGGAGAGATGCATTGAGATTCTGTTACTCCTCAAACTTTCACCCATAGGTTTCAGCGTTCACTGATGATTCTTGCCTGAAACAATTACTATGGCCAAGGTGGCCAAATGGCGATTTTCAAATTCCATCATTCTTTTGACGTGTATTAGGTGGCTTCCCACTATAAGGGTGCACTGTCCCTTCTTGTACATTTATTTAATTATTTATATCATCATGGACTGATAGTTGTCTATTTTACTTAATGGGTTATACATGACCCATTAATATCATTCTTTATTTTGATGTTCAAAATGCCCCAGATTTGGCCAGTTAGGAAGCCCTCCAAGCTGGCTCCTGTGTCCTGTGGCACATCTCCATCTTTCTTTGAGCACTTCCTTGTTTTCTGGCACCTCAAGATGCTCCAGGCTTCATGCCCCAGCCCTGGAATCAACCATTTTTCTTTTCCCAAAGAGTCCTGGTTCTTTTTAGTAGAGAATGGCATTTAGAAATCAAGATTTGGGCACTAGATGTTATAGCTATATCTTAAGAGTTTGCTCTTTTATTTGGAAAAAGTTTCGAGCATCCATTGATGATTTTCTAACTCCATCATTCCTTCTATACTTATTATTTAGTATTCCACTTTAAGGAAGAACTTTCCCTTTACCCTCATTTTATTTATTTACATCAATCTAGAATCATGGATTTCTATTTTAACCATTGAGTTGTAATCCAATACTATCATAATTTATTTTGAATTAGTATTTTGGATATGTCATTTTATTGTTATGTATATGTATTAAGCACATACTGTACATCTACATTTCTCTGTCTATCTAATGAACCATGAGCTTACGCAGATACCTTGAGGGGGCTGTTTTAATAGTCCAGGCTAGCGACAGTAAAGGGCTTACAAGAGGAGTGGAACATGGCGGGAGAGGAGGGGATGGATGCCAGAGCTATTTAGGAGTTGGAACTGACAGCTCATGCCTACTTCAGAACTCGAAGAGACCCCATTTTACAAATCAAAAAATTGAGGCATAGAGTCACTCTCATCCAGTTCATCCACAAAACATGGATGGGGTGAGTGTGGTTTTGAGCCCAGACAAGGCTTCCAATCACTACTCTGCACCGACTCCATGCCAGACCCTCTCTCTCAGCTGGGTGGATGATGCTAAGCCAGCCCCAAGTCCAGGGTGAGCTCCTTTACGCTTCTCAATTCTTAAGCCTGCGATGCCCAGACTCTGGTTGGTCCCCAGCAAGACCCGAGGCTTGGGAAAGGAACCCATTTCCTAACCACCTTACTGTGTTCAGAGCACCATCTGAGACTTTTACAGGTAGAATTGTGTAGGAGTCAGACAGACCTGGGTTTGAGTTCTGGCTCAGCCACCTACTAGCCATGTGACTTGGGTGAGTTTATACTTCCCTGAGCTTCAGTCTCCTCATCTGTAAGGCAGGGGTAACACCTACTTCATAGCACCTGGCCCTTGATGAATGGCAGTCATCATCTCTAATCTTCCCAACACCACTGTGAGGAGGGGATTACTTAGCCTCATTGTATAAACCAGAAAATCAAGGCTCCGGCAGGTGAGGTACTTGGCAGATCTCAGTGGATGAATGTCAGCTCCAGGAAAGCAGAGACCAAGTCTGTCTTGGTTATCATTATATTCCCAGTGCCCAGCAAATTTCCTGGTGCATAGTAGGAATTTAATAAGTATTTGTGAATGAATAAATTATATCTCACTCGCTTCAAAGACTACACAATTTCTGTTTGATCTTCCAGGGCAGAGGTGTGTGTGGGCTCAAGACCTCATAGAAGGCTGTAAGGAAGCCTGGGCAGAGCTGAGACCCAAAACCTGGTCTCCTAACTCCTGATTCATGCTCTTTGCCCTTCACCGACCTGCCTCCAGATGCAAAGGCCAAATTTCCTTTAGCCTAGGATTTGGCGTATTCTTCCACCTTCCTCATTCTCCTCACCCTTCTGCCCAGTTCTATTCCTGGTGAGGGAAAGTGACAGGCAGATCATTTGACCAGAAGTCAGCAACTTCCCGTGCAACATTGGGCAAGTTGTTTAATCTTTCTGGAACTTGGTTCTTCATCTATAGAATAGGTAAAATGACCTACATCTTTCCCAAGACTGTTACAAAGATTAAGGGAAATAATTGGTATGAAAGAGCTATGTGGACTATTAGATGCTTATCCATGAGACGCTAGTGATATTACTATGATTAGCATCACCTTTCCTAGCTTTCTGTTTCCTGTCCAGATGGCTGTTCAGTTGGATCATTCACCTGTGTTTCTGGTGGGGAGGGGCTGAGGTTTCCCCTGACACCTAGAAAACTAGAAAGGAGATGTCACTTACTATCTGTATTACTTGGGACAAGTTTCCTCACGAGCCAAGTGGGGATAAAGATCCCGAACATTCAAGGTAATATAAGGATTCAAGTGACAAAAAATAAGGAAGCACTAGCACAATGGCTAGCACAAAGGAGATTCTTAATGAGTTTTGACATATTGGTTGTTGACTCTCAGAAATAAAAATAACAGCTACCAGATACTGAGGGCCTGCTATGTGCCAAATATACAACAATACTGCAAGGTAGGTATTATCTCCATTTCAGTTTCAGATGTTGGGACTTGACCAAAGTTACATAACTAGAACATGATAAAGCTGGTGGGACAGGAAAGCATGCCTGTCTGACCCCAGGGTGTGAGCCACCTGTGTACTATGCTCCCTCAGCTAGGATGTCCTTAGCTCAGTCCTAAAATAGGCAGAATGTACTTAATTGGCACAGTATCAGATTAGGAACAGTTAACTGGATGAAGGAATGACACTCCCCACACCCCTCAAACATATTCAAGCTTATGGTAGATGCTTAATATACACAGGAAATGTTTGTAAAGAGTATACATTATTTTCAGTCAGTATATACTTACTAAGGACACCATTTTTTTGTTCACTCAACATTCATTTACTGCTTAACATTCCAGGTGCTAAGGATGTATAAGGCCACATGGTCCCTGCCCTTAAGGAATTGATAGTCTGGTGGGAGAACACAAAATAAGCACTGAATCAGCATCTACACAAGTACTCAAGTATGTGCATAGTAGGTGCTGAAACTATATGCAATAAGCCCACAACTGATGAATGATATAGATGATCCCCAAAGCAGTAGATGCCTGATGTATGTGGATAAAGTACTGGTTTGATACTCAAAGTACTGTAGCTGCAATGAACCTATTCATAAATTCCTCAGAGAACATGCACACAATAGTAGATGTACACGTAGTAGGTACTCAAATGCACAGGGGCTATACACAATAAATGCAATCAATGTACACAGGTGTTTGATAAGTACACGGTAGGCTCACAAACGAGCAACAGTAGGTGTTTTACACAGCAGGCACTGGTAGGCGATGGATAAATATGCTGTTGCTGAACATCCAATAATTAAAATATAACTGCACACAGGCTTATTTTGTAGAAGTACACGCCACAAATGTGTACACAGTAAAAGTGCACATGAACAGTTGAAAGCATTTATTAAAATGCTGACTGCCAATGACTCTTTGGGGGTAAGAATGGAAACCTCATCTCTGAGACCTCTACGTGTAACCTTGGCCGAAATAAATATTTCCTTAATCTACTTGGGACCCAGGATTCTAAAAATCCATAATCCCAGGGGAGTGAGCAGCCTGCTGCCTTCCTTCTTTCAAAGCCCTAGACGTGTCGGGGCCTAGAGCTGCCAGCCTAGCGTATCTCCCGCAACCTGTGGGCCAGCAGACGCGATCCTTTGCAATCAGGCACCCCAAACCACCTTCCGCGGCCCACACCAGAAAGACCAGGGAGAAGCGGCAGAAAACGCTGGGGCGCGTCTAACGATCTGGCTGAAGTCAGCGTGGGGGGGGGGGGCCAGCTTGGGCCCACCACCCACCGACGCCAGCTCCTCTTCCGGTCTGTCTCCATAACGCGCATGCGCACCACTGGCCTTTAAACGTGCACGGTCGGCCCATCCGGGAAAAGGATCCGGTAAACTAATTACAATCTTGCTCCTCCGCCGCTGGGAAGAACTATTTTCTCTCAGTCGGAGTGGTACTTTTGAATAAATGCTTCCAAACAGGGAACTCATACCAGCCTATTTAGCTCAGTACCAACGGTATGAAGTATTTCTAGGGCTTGGCCTGACGCAAAGTGTACGAGGCTCGGAGAGACACTCCGCGGAAGGATCCGGTTTGTTGTGGCGAGGGGGAGGGCAGACGCTGACAAACCAAGATGGCGGCGGCGGCGATGAAGGCCGCGGCGGTTGGGAGGTGACTGTAGTGGCGAAGGCTGTGGTAGTTGAGAGGCAGCGGCAGAGTTTGGAAGAAACGGAGCAGGGAGCAGGACGAAGAGGCGGTAGCAGTAGTGTCAGCCTGAGGCTCTCAGAGCGCGACAGCCACACGCCCCCCTAGGCAATCGGCGGGCGGCGGCCGCCCGGCTTAGGGCCTAGTCCCCGAGCAGTGCCTCGGCTCAGTTCCTGGCTTCAAACAGCGGCGGCGCCATGAGTCCTTAAGGGCGGTCCAACCCCTCCTGATCCCTGGCCCAGACCTCGGGCCCACCATGGAGCCGGGGTCCGACGACTTCTTACCGCCGCCGGAGTGCCCGGTGTTCGAGCCTAGCTGGGCCGAGTTCCGAGACCCTCTTGGCTACATCGCGAAAATCAGGCCCATCGCGGAGAAGTCGGGCATTTGCAAGATCCGCCCACCCGCGGTAAGGCCTGGGGCTGGTGGTCGCCGGCGGCGAGGCCGGGGATGAAGGAGTAGGGTAGCCGGCTGAGAAGTCTGGGGCAGAGGGCAGTTCGAGGTGTGGGGAGATGGGGTGGCTGGGCCCCTTGTGGATGCTGCGCGGGTCAGGGAAAGGATGCTGGGGTCGGGGTCCTCTCGTGGTCTGAGGCCCACAAGTGACCTGGGGTCAGAGACCCACCGCCACCACCACTCTTCAGAATCACTCCTGGCTCAAAACAGAGATTCCTAGTAGGCTGGAAAGAGTACACAGAGAAGCATCCCGCACATCTCTTAGTTACCCCGGACTACCTAGGTTAAGGCTGCACGGAATAAGGCCTTTCTGCCGTCTGTTGTCATCACTTCCCTTAAGGCAGGCAGCATGGTGTAATGGAGAGATTACAGTTCTAAAGGGAGGCAGACCCGAGTTCAAAACTCCACTTTGAAGCTTAGCAGCTGTGTGACCTTGGGCAAGTAAACGTAATCTCTTTGAGCCTATGAAATGTGTCCCAGGAATGGTCATTTAGAGGATTGGAGTAAACCTGGTTGCGTCTGTTTGTAGGAGGCACTAGATAAGTGGTAATTATTGTGACTGTGAAGATGTTTGATGTGGTCATTGGCTTGCTCCTATGTGGGTTGACTCATGTTTGCTCATACTCTGCCAGGCCAATTCATCTATGATAATACCCTGCCTGGTGGACCAGTCAGGAAATCAGTCTTACAGGGAATGTTCTATCTGTCTCCCCTGAGGTGGGTTCAGAGAATTGTCCCCTTCTTTTCCTGGGTCCTTTCCTGGACATCACCTCCCAGACTTGACTTCCTAAAAAGAGGCTTGAACCAGTCAGCTTGGTGGTGGAGTGCGAGTCCGCAAAAGATTTCTACTCTGTCCGAGGCCAGGATGTAGGAGGTCCCAGAGGATAGGCCATTCTTGGGTCCCCATAAACACAATGGAGCTATGGAATTCTGCCCCTTTTGGAACACTTGATTCCCAGAGGTCAGCAACAAAGGCTTTATCTTTACTCCTAGGCTTGGCTTCAGGCCAGAAGTCCCCCAAGGGCTGGGACAGGCTGCTGCCTTACCCGGCGTGGAGGAGAAATGATGATATATGTTGTTCGGTGATCATTTGGAATTCCAAGGGCAAGAATTGAGCTTGGCTGCGACAGGGTATTTTCGGGTGGGTGTCTCTTGGCTGAAACGGGATAGGAAGCTTCATTTCCCACCTGAGGAGGGCACCATAGGCCTCCTTATCCAACTTGATGCTTTCTGGTGCTCAGCCACAGATCTAGGCTGGTTTCAGATGGATCCTCTGGGAGGTGTTGGGTAATCTAATTTCTTCCTTGTTGGAGCCTGGCCACAGATCTCTGAGGTATCCTTGTCCACGGTGAGGGAGTGGCAGTGGGTAGTGAGAGGTCAGGAAGGCTAGCATGAGGGAGAGGCAGGAGTCCTGGGCAGCACTCCCTGAGGAGACACTCGCTGAAGTGGTCAGGCAAGCCTGTGGGAAAGAGGCATATCTCACATAGCAGGTAGTTGAGGCCTGAATTTCCTTTTTTCTATCTTGGACTTACCTGGGCAGGCTGGCCTTGGCCAAGTGTTACCCTGCTTTGGCGGACCGGGAAGGGGAAAAGTGATGTGTCCCTGGCGTGTGTGTGGCCAGCAGGGGGCTGTCCTTTGTTATATTTGTTTTCTCTACCCCAACAGTGTGCTTCCCTCCAATCCAAGTGACCTGGCTCTTGGGTTTTGTTTTTTTTCCTCCTCTAGGGCTGCTTCTAGGCCACCTTTAGTTAGCTGGTCTTCTTGTTGTAGTTTGAAGTACTCACCCACGTGATGCTTGGGCCCAGGGTGGGAACCTATGTATGAGTGGGTGCCCGGGCATTGGAGGTTTGCCTGAGGCAGGGTGGTTTGGAGTCTGAATTGGTGATTACTATGCTTGGGAAAGATGGGTGGGAGGAGAGTGTCGGTACTCTGGAGTGGACACAGGGAAGCTTGAGTCTTGCTTCCATCATCAGGTAGCCAACCACATTTTAATAATACCAACATACTGAGCATCTGGCACACAGTAGTATGGGAATGAAGGCAGCTGGTTTGCTGGACCTTCCCCAGCTGTCTGTTGCATCCATGGCTCCTGCTCTAGGATTCCAGTTCTGCCATTTCCTGTCAGGTGCTTGAATTTGCACTGATTCTTGTCTAGAACTTGATTCAGCAGGAAAGGAGGGTACCTGGAGTTTTGGGTTTGAGTACCTTTCTACCTGGGCTATCTGTGCTGAGGGGAGTACCCTATTCTGATAGGAGGCAAGAGGGCACGGGGAACTTATCTGGGCTTGAGCGGTAACATTTTGGCCCACTTTTTTTTTTTTTTTTTTTTACCCTGCTTACTGAGCCCCAGATGTTTGCTACCTGCTTTGGTTGGTGCGGTGGGGTGGGGCAGTGGTAGCCGGGAGTATGTGTGCATGCAAGTATGAGTCCTCTGGCCCCTTTTCTAAATGTGTGCATACAGAAGAGGTCAATGTTTTTTTCTTCTCTTTTACTGTACCCTCCCCCTCTTCCATATGTATGCATGTGTGTATGAACACTGGTAGCCTTGGTGTAGCGCAAAGAACCTTGGTCTGGAGGTCAGAAGACATGGGTTCTAGTCTTGGCTCTACCATTAGCATGTAATTTTGGAGAAATCACATTTCTTCTCTGGGCTTCACTTTTCCCATTTGTAAAATGAAAGCATTGGTCTAGGTTACTTTAGGTTCTTTTTGCCACCCCAACAGGAGCCAGGGCTTTGGGGAGAAGAGGGCTGTGTGGGAGGTTGGGGAGGCGGTGTTGAGAGGAGGGGATTCTTCACAGCTACCCTTTGGGCAGGATAGAACAAGCTCCAACTTGGCAGGGCAGAGTCTCCTCTACTTTTATGACCTTTCCCTGACTTCCCTCCCCAAACCCTCCCATTCTTTGCTACCACAGTCAGTTGGGCATCCCAGCACTCACCCCCTAGGGCTTCCTTCCCTGCCTCTTCCTGTACCAGGCAGGTATATGAGAGAGGACCCACGGGAAGCCTTCCAGACCCGGTGAGTGATACAGATTCTTGCTCCCTATTCCTTGCTTTTGCCTGCAGCATCTATCTCAGGCCCTTTAAACTAAGAGAATAAACATTAAAGGCCCAAACCTTTAAATCCTGCCAGAATTGGAGTTGAGCTACCCGGCATGTGTATTGGGTGGTGCGGTCAGCCTTAAATGTCAAGTCTTAATGATGACTCCTTCGAATAACATTTTCATTTAAAAGCCAGTTTATTTCCCATATCAGTCTTGTGAGGGAGCCAGGGCTAGAGTTCATATTCTCTCCTTACAGATGAAAAATAGGTTTATAAAGGTAAAAATCCCATAGAGCTAATACATGAACCCAGGTCTTTTGACCCCAGATCCTGTGTGCTTTCCAGTACTCCTAGACTGTGTGTCCTATAGCATATGCCTAGGGGACAAGGGGTTAATGTGGGTGTGGAGAGGGTTTGGGGTCAACTGTATGGGGCCCCATTTCACTATTTCTTTAAATCCTGGCACTGTACTGTTGGGAGGGACTCAGGAGAAGTTTCCCAGGGCATGTGCATGTGGACTTGAGAGGCTGCTAGGCCCTGTTGCGAGTTTAGGGGGAGATGGGGATGGGTAGGTTGGGTATTTGCCAGGCTAAAGAGTCTGTGGTGGCTAGAGATCTGGGAAGGCATGAATGGGGTTCTGAGCTGCTTCTGGTACTCTCTGGTCTTGCACTATGCTGAGGTAACCCAAGTTCCTTTCCCTTCTCTACCCTCTCAGGACTGGCAGCCACCCTTTGCTGTGGAAGTGGACAACTTTAGGTTTACCCCCCGAATCCAGAGGCTGAATGAGCTAGAGGTAAGAAAACTAGCAGCTGGTGGTGGGATTGAAAGAATGGATACCTGAGCTCTGATCCCACTTCCCTCATACCATCTCTGGCTAAGGTTCTTTACCTAACTAGGCCTTTATGCTCTCTTCTGTGAAATTGCATCTTTTTGGTATGCCTAAGGCATGGAGGAAACTTTAGAACTCTAAATACAACCAACAGGCAGGGGCATTTAGCATTTCTGATTTCGTAGCTGAAAGGCTTGGGGTGTCCCTTTTCTGCAGTGGTTTGCTGCTTCCGAAGCACCCCTGTCAACTAACCTACCCTACCTGGTCAACAAAAGGGAAATGTGGTGGCTGAGACCCTTTCTTCCTTGGCCATCTGACTGTGGCCTCATGTATCCAATTCCCACACAGCCCTGGGCTTCTTATCTTCCTTCCATGGTGCTTGGTAAGGTGGGAGGTGAGGTAGATGGATGGGAACAAGAACCGGTCTGTGTGGAGGCTGGAATGTTAAAGACTTGGGCAAGGGGTCAAGCAGGTAGGCTTTTCCCTCTCCATTTTGTTCTGTGCAGGAAGTCTAGGCCCTTTGCATGGACAGGTGGGGTTCTCCACTAGGGGCTTGAGAATGTCCTCAGGTAATGAGAGTGGGTGCCCTGAAGATAGTTCAAGGTAAGAAGCTGGAATCTTCCATGGAAAATGTATGCTGCCACCCCTCTCCCATTGTTATGTATCCACAAGCCTTATTAGATGTCCTCAGGGGGTGGGGGAGTTAGGCCCAGCTGAATAACCATAACCTAAAAGCTTACTTGTCTTTTAGTCCAGAGTTCCTCAAACTAGGCACTATTAACATTGTGGGCCAGATATTTTTTGTTCTCTGAGGGCTGTCCTATGCATTGTAGAATGTTTATCTGCATCCCTGGCTTCTACCCATTAGATGCCAGTAGTACCCTCTCCCAGTTATGACAACCAAAAATGCCTCCAGACATTGCTAAATGTCTCTTGGGGGGCAAAATCACCCCCTGTGAGAACTACTGTTCTAGACTCAGTCTAAGGGCTCTTTCGGTCAGGGCAAAGTCATCTCTTGCAGGGGGTACAAGTTCCTTAGAGAAATAGATCTGTCCAGGTCTGTGGGGTGTGGGGGTACAGCTAGGGCAAGGTGTTGCCTAGCATGGGACAAGGGCAGGTTTTCTAGAGAGGGATTGCCGGCTAATGAGGGAAAGGAGCAGGGATGAAGACAAGTTCAGAAAGCTAAGGGATTGAGGTTGAAGGAGTAGCGTTCCTGGCCCCTTAAGGGTTCTAGCAGCTAAAGAGCCATAGGTTATTTCTTTCTGCAAACAGACCTTAGTTTTTCTTAATTATGAAACAGAAAAAACTGTCCTGGTTCCCCCTAATGAGATCAGGGCAATGTAGTGAATGTTAATGACTATCTAGTTCTCCCTAGAACTGGGCCCTCTGACTAGAGCGAGGAGGTTATAGACTTGGGGCCTTTGGGAGTCCTTCTTGGGTCACTGAGATTTCAGGGAAGCATGGTATATGCCTTGTTTCTAGCTAGGATCAGGTACCAGTGCTGCTTTGGTACACTGATCTTGGTTCTTTAGGCCTTTCTGCCTGTAGCATGCACTCTCACTCTTCAGCCACCATGGAATAAGTTTTGTGGTGCATAGGGAGGTACATATACTCTTTTAGAGCCTTCGTTCTCTGAAACATGCATCCCTAGAGCTTAGGTACAATTCGGAAGTTTCCAGAGGGTCTTCACTGGTCCCCTCATTAAGTCTACCCCTCTGGGGTAAGTGGACTGTGCAGTTATTTTATTTTCCTTTTGTAATTAAAAAATGGGGGTCCAGAGAGTAGAACCGATTTGTCCAGGGCTATACAGTAACTCAGCAGCAGAGGGAAAGCTAAAACTTAAGTTATTTGGCACCTAGATACCTTGGTGCTTACTGTGTCACCTAGCTCCTTTGAGCCTGTTTCCTCATCTGTACAAGAGATGATAATACTCATACAACCCTGTGAGGAAGATTAAGAGAGAATGTATGTAAAGCTTTGGCTGTTGTGACCCTCTCTTTTGGGACCTTGGACTTCTCTGATTAGCTAGATGGTGACAGAGATGAGAGAGATGGGGCTAGGTACTGCCTAGACTCTGGGATCCAGTTCATTGGGAGAAGCCCTAGGTAGTATACGTGGGCTGCTCTATTTCCTCTCTCCTTCCCTAAGATTGGGTCAAAAGACAGTGGTCAGAGGGAGGGGTTGGCCAGTCTCTTTGAGCCATTTCTTCTTCAGGCCCAGACAAGAGTGAAACTGAACTACTTGGACCAGATTGCCAAGTTCTGGGAAATCCAGGGCTCCTCCTTAAAGATTCCCAATGTAGAACGGCGGATCTTGGACCTCTACAGTCTCAGCAAAGTAAGAACAGGTTTTTCTCAAACACCTCCCACCCCACCCCAACAGCCTTGGTACTCAGGGGGTCCCCTTGGTTTGGATATTGGATCTGTAGGGTGCAATGCAAGGGCACAGCCTGGTAGCACACAAGCTGTCATCAAAACATCTGGGCATTTCTTGCTGCAATTTGAGATTGGGAAAGGTGGTAGCCCCCAGTGAAGTGCAGGACTAGAGTGGCCCTCATTGCCCTTTCTATAGGTCTAGTCCCTCATGTACATATATATATACACAGCACATCCATGTTCCTTCCTGCTTGTCCTTTCAGATTGTGGTGGAGGAAGGTGGTTATGAAGCCATTTGCAAGGACCGTCGGTGGGCTCGGGTGGCCCAGCGCCTCAACTACCCACCAGGCAAAAACATTGGCTCCCTGCTACGCTCCCACTATGAACGCATCGTTTATCCCTATGAGATGTACCAGTCTGGAGCCAACCTTGTGGTAAGGATGCCAGGCTGGGGTGGTATGAGGCTTTACCCCTAGACACATATTTCCATACTTGCTTTTATTGGAACTGGTTTGATAGATGGAGACATGGAAGCTAGACTCTAGTCTTTCCTAGTAATGTTTATTCTCTTCCCATACTGCCCAGGGTCAGAGGTCTTGGAGTTACCTGTAGGGACAGCTTACTATCTGTTATGTGACAAGGTGTTTTTTATTTTTAATTTTTTGAGACAAAGTCTCACTCTGTCGCCCCAGGTAGAGTGCAGTGGCATCATTGTAGCTCACTGCAACCTCAAACTCCTGGGCTCAAGCGATCCTTCTGCCTCATCCTCCCAAGTAGCTGGATACAGGCACACGCCACCACACCTGGCTAATTTTTCTGTTTTTAGTAGGCACGGGGTCTTGCTCTTGCTCAGGCTGGTCTCAAACTCCTGGCCTCAAGCAGTCCTCCTGCCTCAGCCTCCCAGAGTGCTAGGATTATAGGCACGAGCCACTGCGCCCGGCCAACAAAGTTTTAACTGATAGAGGAATTCAGAGAAGGGAGAGGTCTTTTGGGCTACAGAGGTCTGGGAACAGATGGAGTCTGATTTAGTTGGAGAGATGGTTGGGTGGGGGAGGTGGTTAGAAGGAGGAATGATATAAGCAAAGGCACTTAGAAGAATTCCCAAAGTATGTGCTGCTGTCAGTGATAAAGACCAGTTGGACAGGGGCTATTGGTATGGGTCACGTGTGGACCACAACTTTGGTTGTCATTGGGTGAGGATAGAGAGAAGTTCTTGCTTTTGGGGGCTGGAGCCCCACACCCTGACCTTTATCCCTCACCTGTCTTCAGCAATGTAACACACGTCCATTTGATAATGAGGAAAAGGACAAGGAATACAAACCCCACAGCATCCCCCTTCGACAATCTGTGCAGCCTTCCAAGTTCAACAGCTATGGCCGGCGGGCCAAGAGACTGCAGCCGGATGTGAGTACTTCCCTTCTTCTAACGTAGAGCTTTTGGTTAGAGAGAGTCCTCTCCCTCCCTCTGACCAAGACTATGTTCCCTGTTCCACTATCCCTTCTCTTGTTCTATGAGTTCTTCTGTGCTTTAGTGTACCTCTCCTCTGGCTTCACTCTTGCTTTTTTTTCCTCCCACTCTCAGCTGAGCTGGATCTTGATCTCTTTGTATAATTGCTTTTGCTATACAGTCTCTTGCACGTCTGTCCTTGCCTGTCTTGTTCCTTTCCTGACTCACTCTGCTCATAGAGGTAGAACACTTCTTTCTCCTAATATATGTATCTTTTTTTTTGTTTTTTAAGAGAAAGGGTCTCACTGTGTTGCCCAGGGTGGAGTGCAGTGGCTATTCATAGGCGCAGTCATAGCAAACTACAGCCTTAAGCTCCTGGGCTCAAGTGATACTCCCTCCTCAGCCTTCTGAGTAGCTAGAACTATAGTTGTGTGCCACTGCACCCGGCTCCTCATATTTTACCTTCAGGCAGAAGTTTACATGCCAGGCTTTCTTCTTGGCACTGGGATATAAGAGAGAACAAGGTAGACACTGTTCCTGGGCTCATTGATACATGTAATTTAGCAGATCATATTAGTCACTACCATTCATTGGTAATTCCAAGCACTGTTAATTTTTTCATATATGTTATCCCTAAAACCCCTCATAACTATAAGGTAGGAGTTAATATTTTCATCTTATAGTTAGTAAACTGAGATCCCATCTTTAATTCCTTTCCAAGAGAGGGCTGAGGAGCTCACCCTCGGTCTCCAAAAAGCAACTGAATTCTTCCCTTGGCCCATCTGTGTCTCAGCCCCTGGCATCAGCTCAGGTGACATATAATCTGAGCTATTGTTCTTTTTGGATGGGGCGATCTGCCCCAGATAGCAGTCTTGATTCATTTTCTCTTTCCTCCCAGCCGGAACCCACAGAGGAAGACATTGAAAAGAATCCAGAGCTGAAGAAGCTCCAGATCTATGGGGCAGGCCCCAAGATGATGGGCCTAGGCCTCATGGCCAAGGATAAGACTCTGCGGAAGAAAGGTGAGGCCTAACAGGCTTGGGATGGCCTTCCCTGAGGAGACGAGGCAGGGCCCTAAGTGACCTTATGTTTAGAGCCACTTTTCTCTCTTCCAGATAAGGAAGGGCCTGAGTGTCCCCCGACTGTAGTGGTGAAGGAGGAGTTAGGTGGGGATGTGAAGGTGGAGTCAACCTCACCTAAGACCTTTCTGGAGAACAAGGAGGAGCTGAGCCACAGCCCAGAGCCCTGCACCAAGATGACTATGAGGCTGCGGAGGAACCATAGCAATGCCCAATTTGTAAGGACCCAGCCCTGATTTCCTAATGCTCTGCTTCTTGTCCCTTTGGTGGGCATTTTCCCAGCATGGCATTGGACCAGGTTGCATTAAGCAGAAAAGTGGGCCTGGTGGGCCCTGCCCTCATGTAGCTCACTTAGTTGAGGAAACAGGGCCAGCTCACATGGAATAAAGAACAAAAAAGGGTGATCAAGTGCTGTCAACATGAAGTGCTGGAAGGGTCCAGAGAAGGAGATTTACTCTCCATTGCTTTAGGATAAAGGCTAAGCTCCTCATTACCATGCATGATCCAGTCCCTGCTGACCTTTAACCTCATTCCCCAGCACTGCCCACCTCACTGCTCTGCTATAGCCACACGAACTACTTGTAGGTATGTTCATTTGTTTTCCCCTGAGGCACACCATGCTTTTTCATTTCCCCATCCTTTTGCACATGCTGCTGCTTCAGCCTGGAAGAGTTTCCACCTGTGCTCTGCCCCACTGCCAAGCTTCAGCTTGCCTTCCAGTTTCAAGTGTCACCTTTTCAACAAAGTCTTTTCTCAAGGCCATCCCTCTTTATCTCCAGCTGCTTTGAGTGCTTCCTTCTCTAGGCTCCCACAGTATCCTTTATGGGCTACTATTGTCAGTTTTTAATTTTTATGAACACATGTTTCCAGAGTACTATATGCCCTTGGAAGGCAGATACTATGTCCTACCCATCTCTGTACCAGAGTCCAGTGTAGTGCTGAACACGGGGTACAGTAAGTATGTACTGAATGAATAAAAATGGGAGGATTCAAGATTAAATGATAAGGAATGCTCTCACAGCTCTTCCTGATTATTTGGGGAGATGGTACATACACGCATTTGAACTCCAGTCCTAGCGTGACTAGCCTGTACAGGGCCATGAATTATTCAACCAACAAGCATAGCAGATTTCCAATGGAGAGCTCTCTGGACTTCTGGAAGAGTTTGATGTTTGAAGGCTGGACAGGGCTTAGGTTGATGTTTCTTTCCCCTGGCAGATCGAGTCATATGTGTGCCGGATGTGTTCCCGAGGGGATGAAGATGACAAGCTCCTGCTGTGTGATGGCTGTGATGACAACTACCATATCTTCTGTCTACTGCCTCCTCTGCCTGAGATCCCTAAGGGTGTCTGGCGGTGCCCAAAGTGTGTCATGGCGGTAAGGCCAGCCCCAGTCCACATCTGCCTCATAGGGTATCCTTGCCTGCCTTCATCTCGCCTTATTGAGGGCGGCCCCCTAGCTCAGCCACAGTCTTACATTTTGGGTCCCAGGGGTAGAGCTTTGGGAGAAAGATGAGGAGATTCAACCTTTGTTTCTGTCCTTTGGGAGATCCTAGACCACCTAGGGATATAAGCGTCATGATTAGATTGTATGTGGTGACGTATAAGCAGATGCTAAATTATGTGTTAGAAGATCTGAGGTGTACAAGTTCAGAGGAGAGGAAAATAACTGAGGGTAGTAATCAGGGAAGATGTCAGGAATGAGATTTGAAAGACAAGAATATTAAGGAAAAAAATGTTCTTTTTATTTCCACTTTTTTTACTTGTTTTTTTTTTTAAGAAAGCTTAGAAAATAGACAAATTACCTTATCATCCCACTACCTAGAGATAACCATGATTAATAGTCTGGTATATTTTCTTCTTATCTTTTTACTGTTGCTTATATATAACTATCTTTAACAAGTTTGGAATCTCGTTATTATGTATTTTTTATTTGTTACTTCATGATCATTTTTCTATAATTAAATTTACTGAAAGTATTTTTTTTTTCTTTTAGACAGTCTATCATATGGGTATAATATTTATTTAGTTGTTTTCCTCCTGTTGTGATATTTAGATTGGTTTGCAATGATGTAGGCTTTTAGTAGAAGAGGTAGGCAGGCATTCCATACTGGGGGATGGAGACTAGCAGGAGCAGAGGTACTGGGGTAGAGTGTGCTTGGTGTAGGTAAGGGCAGTAAAGGTGGCAGTAAGGAAAGCAGCTGAAGCAACAGTGAGGGCCAAGTGACTGGGAAGTAGAGCAGGTACATTTCATGAACTACTTACCTTCTCCAAATTCTCAGTGCTTACCTTCTACATGTCCCTCTGGACATCTGGAGAGCAGACATTGATGGCCTCTTGCCTTATCTTAGGGGCTCAACAGTGGTTGTAGAGACCGAGTGTGCACATGCACACATACACACACACAGATGAAGAAAGGCCAGAGCAAGTGTGTAATGGCCTTGGCGGTGGTGGAGATTCTGGTGGGGATGAGTTTGGATACCCAACAGTGTCATGGATGAGGAAGACTGTCAGCTCTAGTTGACTCTTCTCTAAGTGGCTATGAGCCAGTAGACCAGATAGACATTTATTTTTCAGACATGAACAGGATGTGTGTCTGACTTTGTGATACATATAGTTCTCATCTAAAATTACAAACATAGGTACAAAGTGGGGTAGACCCACATTCTGTCTTCTGAGACAGTCTAAAGAAAAGGAATAATGTAGGGTTTGATACTATAAAAGATGATGCCTTTGTCTTCCATCCTCCAGGGTACTAGAATATTCAGTGCCATTTTCCCAGGCTTATAGTTCTAGTCTGGGCATAAAAAGCTTCTCTAAGCACCCTGTATGAACTTACATTTCAGCTTGAAAGAAAAAAATGGTGGCAGAAGAGCAAAGGATAGCATATTAAAGTCAGCCTGTGGTTTAGGTAAAGACCTGAAGGAAGAAAAGAGCGTGGGCTGTAGTGATGAGGGAGGGCTTCCTGGAGGCTCTGGGACTCGAGTTGGGTTTTGAAGAATCAGTGAAAGAAAGTGGGAGAGGACATTTCAGTAGGGAGGAACTATGAGCAAAAACATGGTGGAAGTACATGTGGGGAATGAAAAGACTAAGTAAGCCAAAATGGTGAGAGAAAAAGGTAGAGCTGTAAATAAAATAAGGCCTGCTTCAGGGGCCTTGAGTGCAGACCTAGGGCTGTTCTCCCTCCCTACTCCTACGACATATTCCAGTTCCACTTGTGAAGATTCTTCACCTCTTTGCCTCTGTCTTGGTGACAGTTCTCCTTTGGGTTTCAGGAGTGTAAGCGGCCCCCTGAAGCCTTTGGCTTTGAGCAGGCTACCCGGGAATACACTCTGCAGAGCTTTGGCGAGATGGCTGACTCTTTTAAAGCTGACTACTTCAACATGCCCGTGCACGTAGGTGATGGAGGGCTGGGATAGTGTTGGGGCTAGGTTCATAGGTGTTAGTGCTTGATGTTTCAGTTAACCTGGGTCATTGGGGCCAGGATATGATGGACCACAGTCATCTACCCCTGTTCCCTCAGATGGTACCCACAGAACTTGTGGAGAAGGAGTTCTGGCGACTAGTGAATAGCATTGAGGAAGATGTGACTGTTGAGTATGGGGCTGACATCCATTCCAAAGAATTTGGCAGCGGTTTCCCTGTCAGTGACAGTAAGCGGCACCTGACCCCTGAGGAGGAGGTGAGTGGATGATTCATCATTATATGTCAGCTGTGTGAGCTTAGGCAAGTCATTTAGTATCTGAAAGACTTAATGACTCTGTAAGATGGGGATAATTATGCCTGCCTTAGACAGTTGCTGTAAGATTTAGATGAAATGATGCATATGAAGAACAGCCTGATGCCTGACCTGGCATGTGCAGACATGAGATGGGTTCTTTCATGTCTCTGAGCTCATTTCCTTATCTGTAAAACAGGGATAATATCTACCTTGCAAATTTGTTAAAAGAATTAAATGAGGCCAGGCACATTGGCACATGCCTGTAATCCCAGCTACTTGGGCAACTGAGGTGGAAGGATCTCTTAGCCCAGGAGTTTGAGACCAGTTTGGGCAACATAGCGAGACCCTGTTTCCAAATTAACAAAAAAGAAATGAGAAAGTATATGAAATAACCTGACAGGGTGCCTGGCTCATTCATAAGTGTTCGGGAAGTGGGATTTGTATGGACAGAAAATAATAGGGCCTGGTCCTGCCTCGACGGAAGGGATTTTGGTCCAGAGCAGGGGTTGTTAACTTGCAGGTATTTTGGTGGATGGATATATCTGTAAACCTCCCTGAAATCGAAGTGAATTGAATTGAAATTTTGTGTGTGTGCATTTTGGTGATGGGGTCGGGGCGGAAAATATATAATATTTCTTAGGTGTTTCAAAAAGGTCTATGACCTCAAAATTAAGGTTCCCTAGGCTAAAGGAAGTGACTTAATGTCTCAGCTCCTTAGCATAACCCTCATCCCCTTTCCACAAAAACCTTACCTGACAGGAGTATGCTACCAGTGGTTGGAACCTGAATGTGATGCCGGTGTTGGAGCAGTCAGTACTGTGCCACATCAATGCGGACATCTCCGGCATGAAGGTGCCCTGGCTCTACGTGGGCATGGTCTTCTCTGCCTTTTGCTGGCATATTGAGGATCACTGGAGTTACTCGATTAACTATCTCCACTGGTGAATGGGGCCCTGGGGAGCCAGGGGGGGCAGTCAGGGTGGGCTTCCTGCACAGCTAAGGTGTGACCACTCTATATGTCCCTTTTCTACTTGTACAGGGGTGAGCCAAAGACCTGGTATGGGGTACCGTCACTTGCAGCAGAACATTTGGAAGAGGTGATGAAGAAGCTGACACCTGAGCTTTTTGATAGCCAGCCTGACCTCCTGCACCAACTTGTCACCCTCATGAATCCCAACACCCTCATGTCCCATGGCGTGCCGGTAAGTGCCCAGGAAACAGGGCAAGGGGTAGCAGTGATTTAATGATGTTCTTTGTTGTAGTGGCAGTGGTGGTGATCATCATCTGGAATCTACTCCTGCCCATTTTTTCATTCCTGTTCTATCTTAATTGGGCTATAGGTTTGAGTCCTCTGATAGAGACCCAAAATAATAGTGGCTAGGTACACAATGTGGTGGTGCACCCTCTGGGCCATGCGTTTGAGGGTAACACCCTAGGGATGGCTTATTATCACATTCACATTCCAGACAGTGGAAGAGGGAAATGGGGGAAGGGCAGGGGTAGACAAGTCTCCTTTTAAGGGCACATATCATTTCTATTCATCTCCTATTAGTGAGAACTGGGTCACATGACCACATCTAGCTGCAAGGGAAACTGGGAAATTCTTAATCCAGATTGTCATGTACCACCTATAAATTAGAAGTCATGTTATTGTGAAAGAAAACAAGAATGAATATCAGGGTACAGCTAGCAGTCTCTGCCATCCTTTACATACTATTACCCTTCCTAGAACAATGGGCAGGTCTTTTTATTTATTTAACAGGTCAAAAGTTAAACCTAGAGTCCTGGTCTGTGCTTCTCTGTGTACTTCTCTCCCACCCTGCAGAAATTTTGGTGGGTACACAACCTGGCTTACCTGTGAGGGACTTTATATTCCTGGGAATTCCTAACTCTGGTTAGTATCAGCCCTTTTTCTAGTGTGGATCTTAAAACAGCCTGACCAGCAGTCCTGCAGGAACAGAAGTTAGTAGATCCCCCATCTCTGCTTTAAATCTTATTCTGTGCTACTCTTCCTCCCTGCTCCTTTCCACCCGTTCTGGCCTGGGCCACACTACTTACTCTAATGCATGGGACAGTCAGTAAATACTGAATTGTCTCCTTGAGATTGTACAGTAGGGCTTTGGACTAACTGGTTCTCACCCAAATTTCTTCTTGCCTTCACCTTGTTTTGATATATTATATACTCTGTAAATTTTTTAAATTATACATTTTAGTGATATTTACCCAAGGATTGAGGTATCTAGAGAATTGGACAGAGGGAGGCATCCTACAACAGTTCAGCAATCTTCCTCCACTCGGAGGGGGCTATCCTTTTCTCTTACCACCTCACCCCATTTAGGGATTTCTAGACTTGAGATGATCAAAGGCCCTTCCAATTCTACTGCTTCACAAGTAGACATTGGGTCTGACTTTCCTCAGACTTCTCCTTTCCTGACCTATAGCACAACATCAGTCCTTGTCTGTAATACCTAAGAAAACTGTAAGAGTAGAAGACGATTCTCTTAAGGATTTGGGCAGCTGAGATACATATATATGTGTGTGTACACACACACATGGTCATGGTGGTCACGGAGCTGTTCAACCCTTACCTCTTTTTAAAAAAACTTTATTACAGACTCCTAAACATGTGCTTTTTGCTTCCACCTTCGCAGCATTTCTCCTGCTCAAGGCTCACCAGCTTCCCTGGCCAGCTGCTACTTCACCACCCAGCCCTCTGCCTTGCTCTGCCCTGCCCTTCCTATAGGTAGTTCCCAGCATCTCCAGGCCCTTTGGACTTGTCAGTGTCCCCTCAATCCAAGGCATCTGTGTTTTTCATGTTCTCATGCTGACAGGCTATAGTTTAGCCAGTTGGAGCTCCCTCCAGAGCTATCTTTAGCCTCCTGCACCCCCCCGCCCCGCCTTCCCCTTTGGTGGGAGAAGGCCATTTCTTTTTATAGATAATGTAGTGTAAGTACTATTTTCATTAAAAAAGAAACATGCCTACTTTCCAAATAAATGGAAAATAGATCATCCCTATTCCGTCCACCCTAAACATTTTATGTTTCCATGTGTTTTTCTATGTAAAATTTGACATAGCAATAATCAGTGTATGGTTTTTATAATCTCTTTTATAAGTTTAATGGTCTAGAACTGCACTGTCCAATTTGGTAGCCACTAGCCATATGTGGCTATTGAGCACTTGAAATGTGGCTAGTCCCAACTGAAATGTGCCGAAAGCATAAAATACATGTTGGATTTCAAGACTTAGTGCGAAGCAAAGATTGTCAAGTATCTCACTTAATACTTTTGTATACCAGTTGCACATTGAAATGATAAATTGTAGATATATTAAATAAAATATATTGAAATTTTACCTGTTTCTTTTTACTTTTTTAATGTGGCTACTAAAGAATTTTAAAGTACATATGTGCCTAGCATATTTCTCTTGGACAGTGCTGGTCTAGAATGATTTTTACTTCGTTACTATGGAATGTTTATAACCATCATTTTTAAAAATAAAACAGCTTTATTGCAGTATGATTTACATACCATAAAATTCACCCATTTGAAGTGCACAATTCAGTAAATTTACAGAGTTGTGCTACCATCACCACAATCCAGTTTTAGAACATTTTCGTCACCTGAGAGAGATCCCTTATGCCTATTTGCAGTCACTCTACATTCCAGCCCTTAGTCCCAGACAAGGGAAAGGATCTGTTCTCTGTCTCTGTAGATTTGCCTTTTCTGGACAGTTCATAAAAATGAAATAATATGTGGTTACTTGTGTCTGGCTTCTCTCACTTAGCATGTTTTTGAGGTTCATCTATGTTGCAGTGTGTATCAGAACTTCATTTTTTTAATGGCCTGTTAATATTCAGTTTACCAGTTGATGAACATTTGAGTTTTTACTATTTTTTAAAATTTAGCTTCAGAGGGAACTAGCTATGTTTTTACTTTTTGGCTATTCACAATTGCCATTTTTAACAGCTGCAGAATGTGAGGAGAGCTTTTCTGAATAACCACATAGGAAACAGTAAAGTGACGTTGCCAACATGAGGGTGCAGGCTGAGATGAAGAGTCAGGAGCATTAGGTTCTACTCCTGGCTCTGCTACCTAAGGGTTCTCTGGGACTTGGTTTTCGCATCTATAAAATTAAGGCTGGGACTAAATCATTCAGTAAATATGTTAGAGTTCATTCTGTGTGCAAGGCCTCTGGTCAACACCCCAAAGGTAAATAAGCCAGTCCCTGCCTATGGGTATGCACAGTTGAGTGGAGGACAGAGAGGAGTAAACAAGTGGAATAAAGTGTTAGAGGAACTACAAAAGAACAACGACTGCGTCATTTAGGAAGGGGGTATCAAGAAAGGGTTTGTAGAAGTGGTGATCCTTGAAACAGGATAAGAGTTTGCCTGTCAGAGGTGTGGCATTATCATATGGGCATGAGAATTCCAGTGAGGGGCTCTCAACAGAGGCATAACATGCTCAAGTTTGCATTTTTTGGATGATAATTCTGGCGGTTAATAATGGAGGCCAGTGTAATAATACAGGCAAGAAATGCCGATGTTGCCTCTAAGTAGGAATAGATTTGAGAAAAAGAAAACATGCTGGAGGTGGGAGCTGATGCATGACCTTAGCTATATTAATGAATGGGAAGATTTAATATTTCATAATTTGATTTAACATTGTTAGGATGCTAATTCTCCCCAAATTAATCTAGACTACTGGCAGAGGAATTGTTGGGTTGAAGGATATAAATGTTTTAGGTTCTTGATATATTAGCAAATTTGTTTTCCAGAGAGTAGACTTTATTGATTCCCTTATCAGCACTGCACCTACTTCACTGTGTCTTCATCAGACTTGAACGTTTATCTTAAAAATCTTTTTGAGACTTCTCAGTAAAGATGACAAATTAAGCATACACATGGCTACTTCCATTCTGTGCTGAAACCCCACTAAAATGACACAAAGGGATTTTTTTAAGGTTAAAAAAAGAAATCTCAAAGATGGAGAAAATAAGAGAGGAGACAATGATAAAATTCTTCAAACTAGAAAACAGATGAATAAACTGAATCTTAAGGCAGTACTGAGAACATCTGAGAACCAGCCAGATTTATAGCTCAGAATCCCCCAAATGTTTGTAGTTGGTGGCACCAGGCATTCCAGGGATAAAGATAAATGGCGTGAAAATAAGGATTTGTTCATGTCTGTGTAAGAAGCTGTGAGATCCCCTCCCACACTGGGCTGTTGAAGGAAATGTAACCCTCCTTCACTCTAGTAAAAGATTGAAGATTTCTTTTTTTTTTCTATTAAAAGTTTATTGACTTGATCAAATTTAATATCATTAGTGAAAAATTATGTTGATATCATTTACCCCTAATATGATATTTTGAGAAGGACACTTCACCAGTGTGGTATTTTTCACAAAAGAACAAATGGTGTAGCCAAGAGAAAACAGCAGACAAACTCAAATTATGGAACGTTATACAAAATACCTGAGCATTTCTCTTCAAAACTGTTGACGTCATGAAAAAACAGGAAAGACGGTCACAGATCATAGGAGATCAAGATGACATAATGACTGAAGAAAACATGGCATTGTGAATAGGATCTATTTCTGTTTCTCTTCATTTCTTCCTGTGTACTCTAGTTACCATCTGATAGAATTCCCTTACTCCAACATACTATACTTGTTTTCACCTGCCTCCTTTGTGCTTTCAGTTCTAGAAGTCAGAGTTCCAAATGTGTCTTACTGGGCTAAACTCAAGGTGTCTGCAGGGCTGCATTAGTTTTTGGAGGCTCTTGGGAAGAATCTATTTTCTTTCGGTTTCAATTTCTAGAGGTTGCCTAGATTCTTTGGGTCATGATCTCCTTTCATTTTGAAAACCAGCTGTGGCCAGTTAAGTCTCTCTCACATTGCATCACTCAGATACTGATTCTCCTCACTCCCAATGAAGATTTATTTCTGAAGAGGTTAAAACAGAGTCTCTGGATTGAGGTCTCCTAGATACGGTTGAGGGTGGAGTTATAGTGAAGATAAGATTTATCATTGTCGGCATACTGGATGCTGAGGTTCTCAGCCATCTTCTTCCATTTGGCTGTTAGAACACTGGCAGCCAGGCCTTTTTTTTCTACAGGCAAAAAAATGAGAGAGTTTTCTCTGAAGAATCTGACCGGCCTGACAGGAAAGACCTAGAGTTTCCCAAACTAAGTGGCTCAGCTAGATCACCCTACGGGGAAACTCACAGTTGACAAGGTTCACCTATGTACTCAGAGCTTCCATTCAGCTTTTTTGTCTCTTCCTCTTAAATATAAGCTGGCAGCACAGATTAACAGACAATTGAGGAAACCCTAGAAAACAAAATAGAACCAAATAAACAGAAAGAAAGCAACTTGGAGAAACAGAGGCTAGGCAAAGCGAAATAAACTTCAAAAGAAAGGAAAAGAAACTTCATCAATATCTTCAGAGATAAGCATATATTGCAAACATCAAATAAGAGCATGAAATTATTAAAAAGAATATACTGAGAGCTATTAAAGAGCATGCTAAGAATATAATGAATTCTTGGAGATTAAAATTATAGTAGCAAAAGTGAAAAACAAAAAAAGCTTAGAAGATAGTTGAGGAAATCTCCCACAAAATGAATAAAAAGAGATGGGAAAAGGTAGAAAAAAATTAGAGAATTTGTCTAGGAAGGTCAACATTAAAATAATATGAGTTATAAAAAGAGAATAAATGAAAACAGAATGAAATCATTTAAGAAAATTTTCATTACCAAAGGACTGAGTTTCCAGAATCAAAGGACCTACTCTGTACATGAATGAAAATAAATCTACACCAAGATATATTTTGGAAATTTCCACATCAAACACTGCAACCAAAAGAATTCTGTAAGCTTCTTGAGAGAGAAACAGGTTTAATTCAAAACATTAGAAATCAGAGGCTGGGTGCCGTGGCTCACTCTTGTAATCCTACCACTCTTGGAGGCTGAGGTGGGAGGATTGCTTGAGCTCAAGAGTTCAAGACCAGCTTGAGCAAGAGCGAGACTCTGTCTCTACAAAGAACAGAAAAATTAGCCAGGCATGGTGGCACATGCCTGTATCCTCCCATGCCTCCCAGCTACTTGGGAGGCTGAGGTAGGAGGATCACTTCAGCCCAGGAGTTCGAGGTTGCAGTGAGCTATGGTGATGCCACTGCACTCTAGCCAGGACAACAGAGCAAGACTCTGTCTCCAAAAAAAAAAACGAAAGAAATCAGAGTGACTTCAGACTTTTCAACAACAACACTGGAATCTAGAAGACTAGAGCAATGCCTTCAAAAATGATTTTCATCTTAGATTTCTATATGCAGTCAAGTGTGAGAAGAATAGAGACATTAAAAAAAATAGGTTCTTCCCACCATTTCTCAAGCTATTGGAGGAGGTGCTTGAGCATAGCAAAAGAATAAACCAAGAAAGAGGAAGACATGGGATTTAGGACACAGGAGATCTGTCACAGGAGAGTGACAATCCAGGGAGGACAGCTGGTCCAGATTGGGACAGATCAGAAGGCCACATGAGAGACTGCTACAGAAAGATGAAAATCGATGGGAGGGAGATTTGGATACTTGTCAGACGTTAGGGATACATGCATAAAAAACTAAGCAAATTGAGAAATAGGCCATTTTTAACATAGTCTAAAAGTATATTATTTAAGGTTATTAAGGTCAATGCCAAAATAACCAGAAGAGGTGAAAATATTGGCTGGGGGGAGGGAAGAATGGCAGGACCTGCTGATTTTAAAACAAATCTTACGGAACCATTTGAGTATTTATTTATTTATTTCAGCATATTACAGGACCATATGATTCTTAAAACTGCATTATGTGACTGATGAAAATACTAAAAAAGCTTGGCAACCTTAATGAAAAGTGATATTTATAATTTTTATAAAAGTTACTAAGGAAGTTGGAATATTTTGATATGTATGTTTTTGAGTCTCAAATCTTCGTTATCTGTCAACACAGATCAAAACCTTGAAGGCAGAGACCAATGGTCCTTTCAAAGTTGGAGGTTCTGGGATTCTGTTGTCAGACTATGTTCCCTGAGAGTCTCCTTTGTCTCCTTAAGGACCCTGCACTTAGATCAGGTCTACAGACTAGAAAACCTCGATCTCAGTGGCCTTCGCCTTTCTTCTTCCTCAGGTTGTCCGCACAAACCAGTGTGCAGGAGAATTCGTCATCACCTTCCCCCGTGCTTACCATAGCGGCTTCAACCAAGGCTACAACTTTGCTGAGGCCGTCAACTTTTGCACTGCCGACTGGGTGAGAATAGAGTGTGGTAGACTGGTGGGGAGAAGCAGGAGGGTTGTGGAGAAGCTGAGGCACCACAGCCTCCATACTTGGCCACAGTCAACCTTGAACCTATCCACAGCTGCCAGCTGGGCGCCAGTGCATTGAGCACTACCGGCGGCTCCGAAGATACTGCGTCTTCTCCCATGAGGAGCTAATCTGCAAGATGGCTGCCTGCCCAGAGAAGCTAGACCTGAACCTGGCGGCAGCTGTGCATAAGGAGATGTTCATCATGGTGCAGGAGGAGCGGCGTCTACGAAAGGCCCTGCTGGAGAAGGTGGGTGGTGGGAAGAGTACCCCAGGTCAGGTACCCTAGCCCAGTGGAGATGGGGAGAGGCAAGGGCAGTTCCCAGAAGGAGAAAATGTAGCCTCTACACTTGGAGTGTAGTAAAAATAACTAGAAGCATCTGGATTGAAAACCACATTCCATTCTTTGCTGTACCCTTTACCAGCAATGCTGGACAAGTCAATTTACTTCACTGTCAGTTTCCCTATCTGAAAAATGGGATTATGATAATGCTTTTCTTTTTGGATAGTTGAATGGATTAGAGATAATGTTTGTTCAGTAACTGACCCATATCAGGTGCTGGTATAGCAGGTATTCATCATTATTTAAATGGCACAACAAGATAGACCAGCATATGAAACCCTCACTGCTGATTATCTGGGTGACCTTATCAAGTTACTTAATCTCTCATAGTCTCACTTTCTCACTCTAAAATAGGAATAAATGTCTCACTTGCAAGATAGTTATAAAGCTAGAGTAAGGTAATTTATGTCAAAGTGTCTTGCTGCCTTTGCAGTGTAGCAGCTGCTGTTATTGGTAATATTAATACATGAAGAAATTGAAATATAACATTTCCTAGGAAATGCCATTTTATTACATTCAGATGGTTCAGTAACTCAAACCAGGGTAACAATATTACCAAGTAGAAGGTGGTCCTACTTTAATAGATGTCTCATAAATGTGTCAGTTGTGTATGTGTGTGTGGAAACTGCTACGGAGCTATAAAGTTCACTTGTGTAGTTTCAGCCACCTTCTTCAAGCTCCACACTTACCCAGTTAGGTAATTGACTTAGTGAGAGTCCTCCATAGCATTACAAAGGAATGCTGGTCCCGAAGGATCCGTTGCTGCCTGTTCAGGGCAATACTTTCTCATTTTAAAGCTCATTTATAACTTTCCTGTGAGTGTGGGCTGTAGGAAGAATTACAGCTACAGTCGTGTTGCAAGTCTGGGGCCTCAGTCGCGGTGGTAGTTGAGTTACTGGCTTTTCTAGGCATCATTTTCTCTCTCTGTTCTGTGCTGTTGTTAAATGTTGGCTCTGTGGCTGTGCCAGGCTATGGAAAGGAGCTAAAGCAAAGTGGGAGAATAGACCCTCTCATCCTGCCATTCAGAATTCTTTATACTTGGCCCTTAGCTCAGAGAAGGGTTCTGGACACCCTCATCTTAGAATCCTGTAAGAGATTGTGGATGTGTGTTTGAGTACTTTTCTGGAGAGAGGACTCATAGTTTGCATACAGTTCTCCGTCCATGATCCAAAAAAACCTAAGGACTTCATTTTAGAACAGTCTCTGGCTTTGGAGTCAAAATTGATTGCAGTCAAATCCTCACTTTGGCAAATTAGTGATACTTTCTGAGACTTTAGTTACCTCCTTAGTAAAATGATATAGGCCTGTGAAATATATATTCTCATCTGAAAATTAGAGCTAATAACAGTAAACATTTGTCAAGCACTTGATCTAGTGCTAAAATGCTTGTCTAAGTCCTTAGTTGCATTATGTTTGTTAATCCTCATAACAACCCAACAAGGATGGTACAGTTATCATCTAAGCAACAGGTGGAGTCATTGGCTTAGGTTTGGAAGCCATATTTTTGGGAAAAAGATTGTATCTTTAAACCCTGGACACAAGCACATACAGCTGAATTTTTCTAAGTTATATATGTGCATGCAGTGTCTTCTGCCTGCTTAGCAGCCTGGAAGCCAGCATTGTTCCCCAGGACACACCCTCCATACTAGCCAGGCCCATCCCTTGGCCACTTCCACACATTGTCCCCTCTCTGGTGCTCTGGTCCACCACTTTCCTCACCTTCTCTTATCCACAAGGCCCTTTCTGCTGATTGGAATCTTCATTCTTTTATAAAATTCTCTGACCGGGCGCGGTGGCTCACGCCTGTAATCCTAGCACTCTGGGAGGCCGAGGCGGGCGGATTGTTTGAGCTCAGGAGTTTGAGACCAGCCTGAGCAAGAGCGAGACCCTGTCTCTACCAAAAATAGAAAGAAATTAATTGGACAGCTAAAAATATATAGAAAAAATTAGCCGGGCATGGTGGTGCATGCCTGTAGTCCCAGCTACTCGGGAGGCTGAGGCAGAAGGATCGCTTGAGCCCAGGAGTTTGAGGTTGCTGTGAGCTAGGATGACGCCACGGCACTCACTCTAGCCAGGGCAGCAGAGTGAGACTCTGTCTCAAAAAAAAAAAAAAGAAAATTCTCTGCCTCAGCCTCGTAAACCCCATGACTTTTGGCATAGATTTGGGCCTGAAGTGGGGCGCTGTGGTGGCTGGAGGATTCTGCTACTCTGTTCTGAGTCTGTGTAACCCTTGTGGGTTGAATGGCCCCAGGGCGTCACAGAGGCTGAGCGAGAGGCATTTGAGCTGCTCCCAGATGACGAGCGCCAGTGTATCAAGTGCAAGACCACATGTTTCCTGTCAGCCCTGGCTTGCTACGACTGCCCAGATGGCCTTGTCTGCCTTTCCCACATCAACGACCTCTGCAAGTGCTCCAGTAGCCGGCAGTACCTGCGGTGAGCACAGGCCTACCTGGAGGAAGTGGGGCAATGAGGAGGATGCGGAACTGGGCCGGACATGCTGTCTCCTGCCCTCTTCCTCCAGGTATCGGTACACCTTGGATGAGCTCCCTGCTATGTTGCATAAGCTGAAGGTTCGGGCTGAGTCCTTTGACACCTGGGCCAACAAAGTACGAGTGGCCCTGGAGGTGGAGGATGGGCGGAAGCGCAGTGAGTGATGGGGGGATGGAGGGACTCCACAGGCAAGTTCTATTCCATTTTCTTCTGTACCCTCAACCCCCTTCCTGTGTCTTTAGTCTTATACTGCGTACTCCTTGCTGCCCTTATTCTCCCTCCAGGCCTTGAAGAGCTGAGGGCATTAGAATCTGAGGCCCGTGAGCGGAGGTTTCCTAACAGTGAGTTGCTGCAGCAACTGAAGAACTGCCTGAGCGAGGCAGAGGCTTGTGTGTCCCGAGCTCTGGGACTGGTCAGCGGCCAGGAAGCTGGGTATGGCAGCGTGAGGTGTTGGGGCACAGATAGCCTGCTGAGGATCCAGCACCTAGGAAAAGTGCTACATGGGGTGGACTCTGAATACCATTTGGCAGACTGGACATTAGCAGGGAGCTGCCAAGCACTGCAGTGTGAGATAGCCTGGGAGGTACTGGGGAGGGCAAGGAGACCAGGCAACTTAGAATGGAGAGGAGAGCCTCCATGATAAGAAAGCTAGAAGTGTTTATTTCTGTCAGTACCTGGAGGAGATTTGAGAGACAGGCTGAGGGATTTTGTGGGCAGGGAGGAGTTGTGGGAGATTTAGGGGCAAGAACAGGACACGGATGTGTAAACCTGGTCACAGCTGTACAGCTTTAGAGTTCACAGTAGAGGATGGATTGAAAAGTCCGGTTTCCGTTACCATTCAGCATAGTTTCTAAGCTCCCTCCTCCCCCGCTCCCAATATATTTCCATCTTCTAAAATTCTTTCTCCTCATCATATGAACATGCTTATATTTTAAAACCCTCCCTGTAACCTAGGCAGTTGGGGGAACTCTGAGTTATGTGAGATCAAGGTGGACAGGTATGGTGAGGAAAGGTGATGGGTCTTAGCACAGAGACAGAGGGAGGGGACTGGGTTTGGACCTGGAACCCCACATGTGAAATTCCATAGCCCTCACAGGGTGGCTGGTCTACAGATGACCCTGGCTGAGCTCCGGGCCTTTCTGGACCAGATGAACAACCTGCCTTGTGCCATGCACCAGATCGGGGATGTCAAGGTGAGAAGGGGTGGACTTGGAGTGTTGCTGAGGGATCGGGAGATCGGGGACTTGAGCGGCAGGCCACTCTTGGCTCCCTTCAAATGCTTCAAGTATTTGGGCAAGACAGGATGCGTATGTGTGAAAAGAGATGGAGGCGTGAGGCAAGAGTCTAGTGACTGCCTCTTAGAAATGGGATTTGAGGGGCAGTTGGCAAGGGTATGAATACAGGATACAGGGTCAAGGGCAAGTTTCCTGGAGGAGGTGGAGGAGAAGGAGGCAGCAGGGGTGCTTGTTGGGCCTGGAAAGTTGAGTGAAGTTCATGAAGGTGGAATAGAAGCGGGATGGAGACGGCAGCAGACGCTGGTGTGAGCATGAGGGTCTGTGCAAAGGCTAAGCATAGCATTTTTTAGGGCCGAGGGTCTCTTGGTGCTCTGAGAGCAAAGTACTCTGGAGAGTTAAATAAAGCACCAATTTCTGACCAGCCCCTGTTAAGAATCTCTAGGATTGGGGCCTAGGAATCTACATTTTTTTTTTTTTTTTTTTTTGAGACAGAGTCTCACTCTGTTGCCCGGAGTAGAGTGCCGAGGCGTCAGCCTAGCTCACAGCAACCTCAAACTCCTGGGCTCAAGCGATCCTACTGCCTCAGCCTCCCGAGTAGCTGGGACTACAGACATGCGCCACCATGCCCAGCTAATTTTTTTTTTATATATATTTTTAGTTGTCCGATTAATTTCTTTCTATTTTTAGTAGAGACGGGATCTCGCTCTTGCTCAGGCTGGTCTCAAACCCCTGAGCTCAAACGATCCGCCCGCCTCGGCCTCCCAGAGTGCTAGGATTACAGGCATGAGCCACCGCGCCCGGCTGGAATCTACATTTTTAACAAATTCCCCAGGGCATTCTAATGAGCAGTCAGTGTTATGAAGTACTAATTTTAGGGCTTGGAAAAGGAGAGCCCAGCCTATGTAAGGTTTCCTTTTCCCAAAAGCTTAGAGGGTAAGAAGATAGGTGGGCAAGGGTATCTAGTGGTGACACCCCTAAGTGAGCTCAGCTGAGGAATCTGTTCTTCATCCTGTATTCTGGTAGGGTATTCTGGAACAGGTGGAAGCCTACCAGGCTGAGGCTCGTGAGGCCCTGGCCTTGCTACCCTCCAGTCCAGGGCTACTGCAGTCCCTCTTGGAGAGGGGGCAGCAGCTGGGGGTGGAGGTGCCTGAGGCTCAGCAGCTCCAACGGCAGGTGGAACAGGCACAATGGCTGGATGAGGTGAAACGCACACTGGCCCCCTCAGCCCGAAGGGGCACCCTGGCTGTCATGCGGGGACTGTTGGTCGCGGGTGCCAGTGTAGCCCCTAGCCCTGCTGTGGATAAGGCCCGGGCTGAGCTACAGGAGCTGCTGACCATTGCTGAACGCTGGGAGGAGAAAGCCCACCTCTGCCTGGAGGCCAGGTAGGTCCAGCCTCTTCCCCTCCCTACCCTACTCCAGCCTTCAAAGTAGAGTGGAGAATCTGAAGATGATTCCCATGGGTGGCCTTGACCATCACACTCCTCTGTTGGTGTAGTGACTCTCCTCCCCTCTTTTGTTCCCTATCTTGTCCTTTTATTAACTCCATATGCACATACAAGCAGAGATAGATACAGAGGTATACAGAGAACTAGCCCTACAGGCTGACCTGTGCACATGCATGGAAGCAGAAGTAACAGACAGATGGACAGATGTTGGTAGAAAGATGCCACACACAGAGCAATCCTACAAACTGTAGCAACAGATTACACACAGGTTGTGTATGCATAGGCATTGCCAGCAGGCCAACAGGCTGGCAGACAAGCAGAGGTGCAAGAGCAATGGCAGTAGGATGAAGTTGGGTATGTGCAATCTGAGGAAAGCAGGGACTGTCAGCCACCCATAGGCAGAGTACAAGCAAGTAGGCCCAAGTGGCAGCAGGAATAAATGCCCAAGGGGCCCCAGTAGATATTTCTGGTAGTCAGGCTGGGCTTCTGGTCAGGCAGACCACACCAAACTGAGTTGTCTTTTTTCCCTACCTTTAGGCAGAAGCATCCACCAGCCACGCTCGAGGCCATAATCCGTGAAGCAGAAAACATCCCTGTTCACCTGCCCAACATCCAGGCTCTCAAGGAGGCTCTTGCTAAAGCCCGGGCCTGGATTGCCGATGTGGATGAGATCCAAGTGAGGACCCTGGCACCCCCCACCTTCCGCCCCAGGCTGGGAAGAGATGGCACATACACTGGGTTGTGCTGGGTTGCTGGCATGGGTTGGCTAGAGAGAGGAATGGGGCCCAGCACATAGTGGGGAGGTAAATGTGCTTGGTGAGCAGTGTGAGAGGAGGAGTAGTGTGCTGGCCTCAAGGAAGAGAGGGCGCTGGTTAGGATGAGAATGGTGGGCCAGGGAGGCAGGTGATGTCGGAGTGGAGCAGGGCAGGGCATGGAGGAGAGGAGGCAAACCACAGCAAAATAACTGGTTGGTGGTCTTGGAAATTGACTGGATACTTGGTGCTGAGGCAATCAGTGGATGCAGGCATTGTGGGAGAGGCAGGTGGGTGTTCCTTAGGATATTATCTTGGGATCTTACAGGTAATATCTTTCTGCCTCAAGACTGTGAGTTTAATCCATCTTTCCAGCTCAGGGCCAGGCATAGAGTGCTTACTTGGTAGTCAGTAGACATTGGCAAGTTGAACTGAGCTTTCTCTCGCCCTTGTACCTAGAATGGTGACCACTACCCTTGCTTGGATGACTTGGAGGGCCTTGTGGCTGTGGGCCGAGACCTACCTGTGGGGCTGGAGGAGCTGAGACAGCTGGAGCTGCAGGTACTGACAGCACACTCCTGGAGGGAGAAGGCCTCCAAGACCTTCCTCAAGAAGAATTCTTGCTACACCCTGCTGGAGGTGAGGCCTGGGACCTTGACCCACAGCCTCTCTTGGGCTTGGCCTGGCTGCTGTGAGATAGCTCATATGAGAATGTGGGTTTGGGGGGCGGTACTAGGGGGCGGTGGGAGGTGGGAGAAAGCTAGTCATTCCCCCTCTGTCTGCCTGCCTCAGGTGCTCTGCCCGTGTGCAGATGCTGGCTCAGACAGCACCAAGCGCAGCCGGTGGATGGAGAAGGAGCTGGGGTTGTACAAATCTGACACAGAGCTGCTGGGGCTGTCTGCGCAGGACCTCAGGGACCCAGGCTCTGTGGTAAGGAGCTTAGACACAAATGGGGAGAAGAGCTTGGCAATAATAGAGTGTCTGAGCCGGGTGACCATGGGCAGACCGCTTGCTTCCTGAGCTTCAGTTCTCCTGTTTTGGAGTGTGGTGTTAAGGGGGCCAGAGAACGGAGGGGATAGGCTACTGACCTACTCTCCTGTCCTGGGCATGGCAGATCGTGGCCTTCAAGGAGGGGGAACAGAAGGAGAAGGAGGGTATCCTGCAGCTGCGTCGCACCAACTCAGCCAAGCCCAGTCCACTGGCATCATCAACCACAGCCTCCTCTGCAACCTCTATCTGTGTGTGTGGGCAGGTGCCAGCTGGGGTGGGAGCTCTGCAGTGTGACCTGTGTCAGGACTGGTTCCATGGGCGGTGTGTGTCGGTGCCCCGCCTCCTCAGCTCTCCGAGGCCCAACCCCACCTCATCCCCACTGCTGGCCTGGTGGGAATGGGACACCAAATTCCTGTGTCCACTGTGTATGCGCTCACGGCGCCCGCGCCTAGAGACCATCCTAGCACTGCTCGTAGCCCTGCAGAGACTGCCTGTGCGACTGCCCGAGGGTGAAGCCCTGCAATGCCTCACAGAGAGGGCCATTAGCTGGCAGGGCCGTGCCAGACAGGCCCTGGCCTCTGAGGATGTGACTGCTCTGTTGGGACGGCTGGCTGAGCTCCGCCAACGGCTACAGGCTGAACCCAGGCCTGAGGAGCCCTCTACCTGCCCTTCAGCCCCTGCCTCTGACCCACTCAGAGAAGGCAGTGGCAAAAATATGCCTAAGGTGAGCTATGCAGCCCAGCTTTTGTTCTCAAGTTCTGGTCTCCTAGCCCCTAGCCCTGTTTAGGCTCCGCCCTGCCCCTGGCCCCCAATTTTCAGCCTCCTTTGGCCCAGCCTCCCTGCCACATCCTGCATCCATTCAGATCCCTAGACTGTTCCCTGCTGATGGCCTGTGTCTGCCGTCTTCTTCCGGGAGGTAGAGGCCCCAAGTTCAAGGCTGGGGGAGGAAAAATAGGGCCTGGTTCTTCAGTTTAGTTACCCCTACCCATTCTTGCTCTCCTTGGCAGGTCCAGGGCTTGCTGGAGAATGGAGACAGTGTGACCAGTCCTGAGAAGGTAGCCCTGGAGGAGGGCTCAGGTAAGAGAGGTAGGTCTAGGTGTGGTGTGGGCAGGCTATTGACTACACCAGAGTGACCCATAAGACCAAGGGCAGCCTCTAATCCAGCTTATCCCCACAACCCCCCAGATCTGGAGCTGCTGTCCTCACTGTTGCCACAATTGAATGGCCCTGCGTTGGAGCTGCCTGAGGCAACCCGGGCCCCCCTGGAGGAACTCATGATGGAAGGGGACCTGCTTGAGGTGACCCTGGATGAGAACCACAGCATCTGGCAGCTGCTGCAGGCTGGACAGTCTCCAGACCTGGAGAGGATCCGCACACTTCTAGAGGTGAGGAGAGGGGTCACAGGCCGGGCCAGGAGGTCAGGCTAAGTAGGGAGTCCAGGCCTGACCACTGGTCTATAACCTGTCTTTCTGCCTATCTGTGATCACAGCTGGAGAAGGCAGAGCGCCATGGGAGTCGGGCACGGGGCCGGGCCCTGGAGAGGCGGCGGCGGCGGAAGGTGGATCGGGGTGGGGAGGGCGATGACCCAGCCCGAGAGGAGCTAGAGCCAAAGAGGGTACGGAGCTCAGGGCCAGAGGCTGAGGAGGCCCAAGAGGAGGAGGAGCTGGAGGAGGAGACTGGGGGTGAAGGTCCCCCCACATCCCTCCCCACCACTGACAGCCCCAGCACCCAGGAGAACCAGAATGGCTTGGAACCGGCGCCAGGGGCTGCTTCAGGCGCTTTGGCCCCTTTCTCTACTCTGACTCCCCGGCTGCAGCTGCCCAGCCCACAGCAGCCACCTCAGCAACAGTTGTGACAGTGGCTGAGCCTAGCACAGACCCTGACAGAGATCCCCCTCGGCCTCAAGGATCCTCTTTCTGACCATCAAGCCTGCTTCTTGGGAGGTGGGCGGGTAGTGGGGATGGCCACCCCCCTACCTGCCCGCCCCTGAATCCCTTGACTTTTATATTCTGACTCCAAGGTATTGTTCAGACCTCAGCTCCTGGGGGCCGGCCCCTGGAGTCCCCCTTCCCTGGTAGCCTCTAACCAGCATTCCCAGACACCTGAGGCAGATAGACAGACGGATGGGCAGGTGGGCAGGGGGGTGGCTGGGGCTGGGCCAGCACCATTCCAGAGACAAGGCCAGTGCATATGCAAACTGGGGGAATCTCCTCTCCCTTCTCTCCCCAGTTCTGGCCCTGGCCAGGCCATGCTACACTAACCCCCCTCCCCACTCTCCTCCCCTCCTCTTTTCCTTCCTCCCTCCCTCCTTCTCCCTTCCCCTGACTGTTCCACCCAGGAGGAGGAAACTTCACATAGCTGTGCTCACAGTTTTTTATTTTAAAGGAATTTGGATGGGGAGCTGAACAGGGCTCCCTGTGATTTGAAGAAAGCTTTTGGTGCTTGTCCTCACAACCACCTCAATCCTCCTTCCCTGTCCTCCCCTGTCTCCTTTCCTCCTCCTGGGTTCATGTTGTAATAAAAGAAGATTGTTGGTGTGTAATTAATTTGTTCAAAAGAAAAAAAAGCAAAACAAGAAACTTGGTTCCAACCGAAGCCTATTTTAATTTTATTTTATTATTTTCCTCTTGTTAGAAATAAAACCCTTAGAAACATTTTTTGGAAACATGTTTCTGAAGTGCATTTCTCTTGGAAGGGGAGAACAGTGCTTCCATCACCTGTAAGTGGAGCAGCTGTAGTGCTGGCGGGAGCACTAGGGCTGAAGCCAGGGAGCTCTGGCTTCTGAAACCGAGTTCTGCCAGCTTCTCCTTAACCTTGGCCAAGACATCCCGATCCTTCCCTGACTCCACCTCCAAGGCAGTTTCCCCCAAAGTTAAATAGGTGGGCTCTGGCACCTCCACCTAAACTGTACCACAGCCTCCCCTAGCTTTGTGCCCTCCTGTCTACCTTCCTCTAGCACCCAAAGGGAATTTTTTTTTTCTTTATAGCTTTATTGAGGCATAATATACATACCACAAAATTCACCTGTTTTAAATGTACAATTCAGTGATTCGGAGGGCTGTTTCTAAAGTGTAGATCTGATTGTGTTACCACTGCTTAAAACCTTCCATGATGCTTCAGTGCCCTTAAGATCAAGATTATATATAGAATCTCATTCTTTCTAGAATGCTTTCCTGTCTAACCCATATGCCACATTCAAGGACCCTTCCCTGATTTTTGTCTACAAGTTCTTTCTGCCCCCGACGAATGGGGACTAAAGCTCAGATGTGTGGTCATTTGCAACCCCTGAGTTCACTTTTTTCGGATAGCTTATTGAGATACAATTCATATACCATACAGTTCACCCAACTTAAATTGTACAATTCAATGGCTTTTAGTGTATTCTCAGAGTTGTGCAACCATCACTGCAAAAGAAATTTTAGAACATTTTCATCACCTCAAAAAGAAACTCCACATCCCTTAGGTATCCCCATCCCACCTCCCCCATTTGCCTATTCTGGATATTTTATATAAATGGAATCGTATAATATGTGATCCTTTGTGTCTGGCTTCTTTCACTTACCATAATGGTTTCAAGCCCATTAATGGTCCCAGAGTAATTGGAAAGATCTCCCTTCTGGGCCCCAAAGTCTTATAAGACGAGGATGGTGGACTAAATTAGGACTGTCACCAGAGATTGTTTATGTGTTTTTGTGGGTGTTTGCATGCATGCGTTTTTCTGGCAAGAAGACTAACCAGCTTGTATCAGACTCATAAAGGGATCCTTGACCTTCCAAAGGCTAAGAACCATTCTTTGTGGTCTTGAGTGTTCTGTGTTTGGAGTGTGCCCATGATATGAGGATACAGAAGAGGAAGCAAGAACATGGAGGCCCTGCTAAGCCAGCCAGCTTCCCATCATGCCTGGCTCCTCAAGGGTTTTCCCTGCTCTCAGGGGTCTGCATGGAGGCTAAAGGCTAGGTCCTGATCAAGAGCTTAGCATACTGCCGCTCTTATTTTGTTCTTCCTCAGCTGAATGTTCTATGGGTTCATTTTGTTCTATCAAGATTTTCAGTTGATAGGAACCTAGTGATGAATGAGAAAGCATTCTTCTGGCAGCTTTGACTGCTGGGAAAGTCTCAGCTCTGCCTCATCCATCCAGTCTTCCAGTTGAGACACTGGGCTGTAGAAGGAAGCAGAGGCAGAGGCCAGTGGACAACCCTGTCTTGGGTCCAGTTTGACACGAGGTCGCAATCCAGGGGAAAAGGCTGGCCTTTTACCTGTCCAACTCCTTGGATGTGATCATGAAAAGAGGGTTGGAGGAGATGACAGAAGAGACAGGTGTGAGAGCTGGGATGGGAGCAGGAAGGAGTTCAATGTTGGCACTTCACCACCACTCCCTACTCTGAGGCAGTCAGCTGTGGGAAGAAGTGGCCGGATAAGAGAGGAAGAGATGATGCCTACAACCTGGAGCAACTCCCAGGCCAGAGAACTGCTGGGCCCAGGGTGGGGGTCCTCTAGGGCAGTGGTCCCCACCCTTTTTGGCACCAGGGGCTGGTTTAATGGAAGACAATTTTTCCACGGACCGAGGGTGGGGGAGTGGGGTGTCGTGGATGGAGGGGAGGTGGTACCAGAGCTCAGGTGGTGGTACGCAGCCCGTTTCCTAATAGGCCAAGGACCTGTACTGGGTGGGCTGTGGCCCGGGGTTTGGGGACCATAGCTGTAGGGTATGGGCCCATCCCTCACCAGTTTTTAGATAGTCTTACCCATCTTGGCACCTAACCCTAACCTCTCATACACACACTTTCTGCCCCCTTCACAGGGGGAGGTGCTCCCATGCAGGAGAGGCCCTAGCCGTCATCCTACAAGACCCAGATCAAATCTAATCTCTTCCAGAGAGCTTTCTCTGGTTCCAGATTTGTCCCCCTTTCTCAGACACTCCCCTAGAAAGGGAGGAGCGACTGGTTCACAGGACCCCCAGATGAGGGGATCGAGACAATGAGGTCAGGAAAGTAGAGGATATCTTCTCACCTCAAAGTCTCACTTTCTACTATAGACACACCACCCTGCTGCTGCATCCTCCAAAATGTCGCCACATCCCTCAGGATGGTTCATGAGTCTACAGGTGACAAGGGGATGGGAAGACATCACTTCTACTAAGGACTTTACTCAAACTCTTCCTTCAGGCCCAACTGACCCCCTCCTCCTCCTTCCTTAGTACCTCTATTTTGTCTGAAACACCAGGATTAATGGGTCTGTCTCTCCTCCCACCCCCGAGCTCTCCATACTGGGAGCTTTGGAGGAAGGCAAGGCCCAGGCCTTAGTCCTCTGTCTCCATTTCCAGGCCAGGGGCCCACAGAGTCTGGACTCAGAAAGAGGGAGACAGGAGCAGTAGTAGGAGCCCCACTCTGCATGTGAACTCTCTTTTCTCTGCAGGGCATAGGGTTCTTTGGTACAGGGTGCCACCCCATGGGAGGGGGGCCTGGGGTCTGAGGTCCATAGTCAATAGGGTCCTGCAGTACAGACACTAACGATGCTTCCCAGAAGACCTGAAGTTGTGGTAATGGGAGAAGAGGGGTTAGAGGGCAGACAGATAGGATCCCTGACCCTGGAGCACTCATGATCTAGGATAAGGGAAAGGAGCAGCCCCTTGTGAACCCCCTCCTGGGTGCCAAGCCTTATGAGATAAAACGGAGGAGAGACAGACCCGTTAATCCTGGTGCGACAGACACACAGGAAATGGACCCCTAGAAGAACAGGCCTGGCCCAGGCATGTCAGCCTGACAGAGCTGGGATTTTTACCAAGTCTCTGTGAAACTTAAGGCCTGTGCTGGTCAGAAGAGATCCAAAGTAATCAACCTGCCACCAAGAAATAATTCATAGTGGGAGTTCCATGTTGATCTCTGCTGTTGGTAGGTTGGGAACTCAGCAGTGCTATAGCCAGATTGGCCTTGGTAGGTTTCATATTGCTGAGGTTGTGCATAACCTCCATGCCTGTCTGTATTAGTTATGTATTGCTGCCTGACAAATTACCTTAAAAACTCAGTGGCTTAAAACAACATTTATCTCAGCTAGGAGCTTGTAATCCTAGCACTGTGGGAGGCCGAGGCGGGAAGATTGCTTGAGCTCATGAGTTTGAGACTAACCTGAGCAAGAATGAGAACCCATCTCAAAAAAACAAAACAAAACATTTATCTCATAGTTCCTGTGGGTTAGGAATCTAGGTGCAACTTAGCTGAGTTTCTATTTCAGGGTTTCTCACAGCCTGCAATCAAGGTGTCAGCTGGGAGGCCGGGCGCGGTGGCTCACGCCTGTAATCCTAGCACTCTGGGAGGCCGAGGCGGGCGGATTGTTTGAGCTCAGGAGTTTGAGACCAGCCTGAGCAAGAGCGAGACCCTGTCTCTACCAAAAATAGAAAGAAATTAATTGGACAGCTAAAAATATATAGAAAAAATTAGCCGGGCATGGTGGTGCATGCCTGTAGTCCCAGCTACTCGGGAGGCTGAGGCAGTAGGATTGCTTGAGCCCAGGAGTTTGAGGTTGCTGTGAGCTAGGCTGATGCCACGGCACTCTAGCCCGGGCAACAAAGTGAGACTCTGTCTCAAAAAAAAAAAAAAGGTGTCAGCTGAGGCTGCAGTCATCTCTAGGCTCGACTGGGGAAGGATCTGCTTTGAAACTCACTCACGTGGCTGTTGGCAGACTTCAGTTCTTTGCGAGTTGTTGGCCCAAAGGCTCTGGGTTCTTGCTGGCTGTTAGCTGGGGGTCATTCTTAGTTTCCTTGCCATGTGGATCTTTTCATAGAGCAGCTCACAACATGGCAGCCTGCTTCATCAGAGCAATTAAGTGAGATGAGCCAGAGACAGAATGAGAGAGTGCCCACATGTAAGAAAGAAGTCATAATCTTTATAACCCGATCTCAGAAGTGCCATCCCATCACTTTTGCAATATTCTGTTCATTAGACGTAAGTCACTCATAGCTCTGTGGCTGTCTAAGAAAAGAGAAAAGAAAAAAAAAGTCACTAGGTCCAGGCCACACTCCAGGGGAAGGGATTACACAAGGGTATCAATACCAGCAGGTGGGAATCATTGGGGGGTACCATAGTTCACCCTCTGGTCCTTGATGATTCACATTCCTTCCATATGTAAAATACACTCAACCCTTCCCAAGGTCTCTAAAAGTCTCATCCAATTACAGCATCATATAAATATCATATAAATCAAGTCCATGTGTGAACGAGTCTCCTTAGGTGTATTCCTTAAGTATGGCTCCTTAAGTACTATTTTTCTCCATCTTTAGATCTGTGAAACTTAACAGGCAAGTTATCTGTCCCCAACACACACAACATACAGTGGTGGAACAGGCATAGGATAACTACTACAGACATTCTAGTTCAAAATGAGGGAAAATGGGAGACACAAAGGCGTCACTGGTCTATAACAATTCTGAAATTCAGCTAGGAAAATGAAAGTCCTTGATTAGATTTCAAGGCCCAGGAATATTTCCCCACGGCTCTTGGTTCTGCCCTCTGGGTTCTTGGTTCTACCTTCTGTGCCTTCTTTCCTTTTTCATGAAAGGTAGCACATATTTACAACTGAGCACTTTTCCCAGTCTGCTTCCTGCCAGTAGAATTTTGGGAGTCCAATGGCTTCTTTTCATTGTGTTCTGTCTCTGTAATCAGCTGCCACCAA